ACGACCACCACTACGACCACCACTACGACCACCACTACGACCACCACTACGACCACTACTACGACCACTACTACGACCACTACTACTACTACTACTACTACTACTACTACTGCCGCAGACGTGGGCCATAGAGCATCCACACTGACTCAAGGGTGGGCCGCCTCAAAAGAACACACATCCGGGGGTCGAGGGTTTTTCCGCGACGCTGATGGTGTGCGACCTGATGTCGCGACCTGATGTCGGGAGGTGAACGTCACTCAGCTCTGTCATTTGCAGAGCTTGAGGTTGGGCCAAGCTGAGTTGCTCTTGGAGGAGCTGGGCGATCATGGGGCCGACAGGGCGATCATGGGCGAAAGCTTTGTTTGTCGTTAGGCAACAGCAGATTTTTCTTTCAATACGTATGGTTTAATCATGTTATTTTTGATTCTGTTTGGCGTGCAAATCGATACTGGGATCGTTTCATTGTCTAGAGTGATTCTTGGGGATCATTTGTTCATCATTATATCATCTGCGCATCGGCTTTCAGGCATTCTAAACTCTTGGACATTTGGTGGGCACACTCCGTGGCATCTCCTGGCTAAGTTGGCCATAGCATGGAAGATGTTGAATTTCGCGCTTCCAGGCGTCGTGGTCATGGTCCCCGAACTGGTCACGGCGCCTAGCTGTCAGCCGTAGCGAGCCACTAGTATGTCCGCTTCCCGGCGAACATGAGGACATCAGCTTCCCGGTCGGCCTGCAACACTTAAGCTTTGGCAATTCCTTTGACCGTGACTTGGAGAAAAACGACCCAGAACCTGAGGCCAGAGTTTGACGCCTCTGCGTCAAGACCCAAATTGGTGCAAATGGGTCAATTACAAGAATAATACTGTATATATGGCTTATACAATACGCTTAATATTTGGAAATCTGCCTAGCCGAAGCTACTGGGTATTGACCAAAGCCCAACATCGAAACATCTCCGATGTACAGCGGAGATGGGACACCAATCTTGCTGAGCCAAGAGCGGATTCGATATATCTTGCTGAGTCTTGTTGTAGCAGGATGAAAGGACCGACCTTCACAGACGGAGTCGCCCAAGACGTCTTGACCTCGCTGTACGAGTCTTTTTTTACGTTGGGCCATTGTTGATTGAACGCACCTCCTGCAGACTGCCACTCCAACATGAGTTTGCAATGATGGGAGTGGTCAGTTTCTTTCTGCACAGAAGTCTCCTCAAGGGACTCAAGGGTGAACGGTGACTTGTGGGGCGATGTCCCATGCACTGCGAAGAAAGGCAACATGGATCCAACCCGAACGCGAGGGGACAACAACAGCCAGCGAACGCAGCGATGTTTCGCCCTGGTGTCGCGAGGCAGTTTGCTTCGGAGCCATCTCCCCAGTGCGCTGCTGAGCTTGACCTTTGGGCGGTGCTTCAATCGGAGCCTTGAGAACGTCTCCCTGCCACCGCAGCTGCAAGCTTTGACCTTTGGAGCCTCAACAGCCTCAACTGTTCGAGAGTGCTCACGAGATCTTGAGAGAGGAAAACGCCTTTAATTTAAATGGCTTTAACAGACTTTAACTTTAGCATGCTTTAACTAAGGCGAACACAAGCAAACCAAGAGTTCCAAGTGGTTTCTTGTTTTCTCGTCCAGTAAGTGGCTGCTCCGGCCTCCGCCCCAAAGATCGGCCCCTTGGAACCGGGGAGGCGTGGACGGCGTTGGTTGGGGCCCTGTGAGACGGAATCGACGTGAAGGGACGCCACTGAGGACATGCGTTTAACCAACGAATGGAGGTGGTCAAGCTGCCGGAACAGCAACTGGCCTGCAACGCATGGAACCGCATGCCAACTCAATACCTGGCGGTTTTTTTTTATCCATCAAGCGTGAACGCTTGCAGGGCCCTGTAACTGTATTGGCACTACACAACGAACTCATCTTTGGGCCGAGATCTGCATCATTTAGGATGTCCAAGGTCTGCTACCTAGCACGGGAATTTGCTCCGTGGTTTGCATGGGAATTTCGGAGAAGACCAACTTCCCCTTTTTTCGATGCAGGGATCTGTTGAAGAAGTTGAAGAGCCATTGGCCATGCCTGGATCCCATGGCCGTGGATCACCTGCCCCAGCCCTTGCAAAATTGGGGCTTCCCCACTCAACCACAACAGGCAGAACAGAGGTTAACCAGTGGAACCGCTCTTTTTTCGACCGAGTCCAAAGAAGTTGAAGAACCATGAAGAGCCATGGTTGCCTGGATCTTTGTAGATGTTGATGCAGGTGCAACGGTTCAGGTGTGCGGTGTGTCCATGTGCGTCCATGTGTGATCATGGCACCGGTTCGTGTGAATTGAGGTTGAGAAGCTTGACCTTTGGGTTCGAATTCAATCAGACCCTGGCGCACACCATTTTGCCTCCGCATTTGCGTCACTTGAGCTTTGGCGATCGCTTCAATCAGAGCTTGGACTCTACGATGCTACCGATTCACTTGAGAACTTTGGCCTTTGGCGATCGATTTAATCAACGACTGAACCAGGTGCTTTGGCCACAAGACTTGGAGAAGTTGATCTTCCGCAGGGATTTCAATCAGCCCTTAGATGGCTTGGCCAATCTCCCGAACCTGGGGACCTTGATGCTTGGCCAGAAGTTCAATCAAGTCCTTCCCGCAGCAGATTCGCCTGCGGTGCTTTCCGGCTCGGAGCCAGCGCAGGAGCAGTCCACCTCTTTGTTCCCCAGGCTTCATACGCTGGTTCTGGGTGATAGCTTCAGTCATAGCCTGGAGCATCACCTGTCGAGCTTGAAGTCCTTGTCACTCGGACGCCAAAACCCGAGCGCATATGCAGATGTTCCTTCTGCTGCTCACCTGTCTCGGAGTTTGCCCTTGAACTTGGAGGACTTGACGGTGGGCGGCTTGGCCCCTGAAAGCTTCATGGTCTTCCCATCTGCCCTGCAGAGCTTGACCTTAAGATCTGGATCGCCGCTCCATTTAGTTGGACTACCACATTTGCGGATTTTGATCCTGGGAGAGGGCTTCAAGGACCATCCCAGTGGCCTGCTCTTCCTTGTTTTGGTATTTTTTGCTTGCACCAATGAGGCCTAATTCGGGAAACCCATGAGCTATTTCTGCAGGTCAAAGACGGGCATGCCTTTTTTGCAAGCTGTGTGAACATTGTGTTCTTCTCTCAGAAAGAGACTCACTTGCACAGGACGCGGAAGAGGTGGAGCTTCCTGGGAGTCTTGAAAGTTTGAGCCTGGGTGACCTACCCCTACGACAGGCGAGAATCAGTGCGATCTCGCCTGTTCTTCGCGAGAGCGTGAACCAAACCGGCTGATTGGATAAGGTCTCAACCATCCAGCGCAACTAGTCCTTCATGTTTCTTCTCATCCGTGTGAGTGAAACACAGTGATACCAGGTACCCAGTTTACACACCAATCTCATGGTGGTTGTGGTTTGTTCTAGCATGTTGCCATGGTTTGGGTCGTTTGAAAGTGTCTCCTGAAATTGTTCTGAACATTTGGGGGATGCGGCGGCAGTTGCAAGGTGTTTCTTTAGGGTATCTATCCAACGGCCGAGCAGTATAGTAGAATTTAAGCCATCCACTGCCCGGCATTCACTCGAGTGCCGCCCCATGTGCCCTCCCCACTTTTCAGTGGCCCTGTCTTCTATGCCATGCTTTTCAATGTTCACAGGCCGAAGAACACCGAAGAATACCGTCAGGTGAGACTCCCGGAGCGCTTGAAGAGCCTGGCGCTGGGCCGCGAAAAAACCGAGCTCCTGCACCTTCCAGCCAGCTTGGAGAGTTTGACCTTGGGCGAGAACTACAACCAACTCTTCGAGGTGGGTTTTGGGCCTTTTGGGCCCGTTTTTGGGGGTCAGGAGAAATGAATCATGTATTAATTGAATGGTTATATATATATATGATACGTATGAGATGTGTGTATATAGTTTATTTTATACCAGTTACTACCATGTTTTCCTTTTTTGGTGGAAGCGGTTTCTTACTTGTGTCGTTTGGTTGGCAGAATTTTGCCGTTCGACAAAAATCATGACCAACTGATGCGTCACCGTCCTGTTGCTCATGTGCTGCGTCACGCGTTGGTGGGACGGATTGTGATTGCTGTGCTTCACAGGGTTTTACCGACAGAGTCCATGTGTTTGTTGCTTCAGAATGAGCTGCCGGAGATCGGTGCCCAAGAGCGTTTTTGTTATTTTTTTCTGAGTGATCCGTTTGATGAGTTTCCCGTTCGGGAGTCTGAACCACCGGAACCAGATTGGGGTGAAAGGCTCGGTGAAAGCGCCGAACGCCTTCGGCCCGGCCGGGATCCTTCGGTTGAGGTGAAGCTACGGGGACTGCTGTCAGCTGTCGACCTCAAAACATGTCGAAGCCAGACCTCAAAACCTGCTTGACAAGTCGGCTCTTGCCGGCTCTTCAATACATTCCGACTTGAACCTTTCAGTCTTGCCCGATGGCCAGGTGGAGTTACCCAAGCATCTGCAAAGCTTGACCTTCGGAGATGCCTTCAACAAGAGCTTAGAAAATGTGAGCTTTCCGCCCAGCCTGCTACGCTTGACCTTTGGACGCAGCTTTGAGAAGCGATTGGATCACGTGACACTGCCAGAGAACCTGCTGGCCTTGACCTTGGGACGCAACTTCAATCATGCCTCTGGGATGGATGGGCTCTGGCTCGAAAATGGGACCCAGTAGAAATGTTATTATACAGGTGTTATATAATTAATATAGATTTCAATGCCTCCTCCAGGACTCCAGGCTTTGCATGATATCCCCCCTTGCGTTCGCATCCCCTTGTTTCAGAATGTTTCGGACACTTGAATCACTTGAACAAATCCGCCATGTCTGATGCAAACAATTCTGCCCAACTTCATTTAGGCAGACAATTCCGCCCATTTTCACAAAGAACGCCTAGCTGCAGCCTCGAGGGTCAAGAACGCTGAGGTACAATCGTTCCTACGTTAATATGAGGCAACAAGAGGATGCAAGGCTTCTGGGACAACAAACGCTTGCCACCTGACGCTGGTCCCCGGTCCAAAGACTTGAAAATTTCTGTCAGTCACTCCCCCAAAGGCTACAGTTCCTTTGTCCAGCCTATTTACACCACTGATTGTAGTGAGGGGGGCACGGTTAAGAAGAACGCCCAAGCAATTGGCAAGAACGCCTAAGTAACGGGCAACAATGCCCAAGTGACGGAAGAAAGCCTACGCAAAAACAATGACCCATGAACATAGAAACACCAACATACACAACTGAAGCATCAAATCATACCAAGTCATGATGAACCAATGTACTTATAGCCTCTGGTTGTAGGGTGCTCATCATCACTATAGGGGAGATCCTGGAACCAATAACTGCTGGATCCTTATTCTTTTGAGCATTGCCCCGCCAAAGGACAAGTACGCCACACGGGACAAGAACGCCTAAACACGGAATAGGCAGAAATGTCTGCCCAAGAGGGAGTTCTAGGTATGGTTGATTGGGGGTGCCTGGGTCGGCATGAGGTTTTGGCTAAAGCTATATACATAGGAACTTAGACACTGTTCAAGTGGTCGGTCGGGACGGTGAATTCTTGACCAATCCTCTCATCTTTGGGTCCACAGGTAATTCGCAAAGTCGTCCGAGATCATCTTGAATGCGCCATTTGCACATGTCTTATTTCGATCCTATCACCATTCCAATCCATTCCAAGGGTGGTGAGGCACCGTGAAAAGTAACAGGAAGAATACTTGGTTAGACTAGTTTACACATGGCCACCTGTTTAATACTGAATAGTTTACACATCGTCTGGGTGACCGGCAGATGGTGGCAAGACGACGCACGACTTGAGATCGTCCGGTCGGGCCAGTCTTAAGATCCAAGGCTTTGGACCACGTGGTCTTCCCGGAGACCTTGAAGAGCTTGATTTTGGGGGATCTGTTCAACCGTTCCTTGGAGAGGACGGCGAAGGGGGCTTCGGCCCAAAAACAGGTCCATACGGCGGGGCTGTTGGGTTCTTTTGAAGTTCTTTTGGACATGACCACAGTTGCTGTGGCACACAAGCTGGGACCGTTTTCTGATTCACTTGGGGGCAAGTACGGGGGAACCGCTGCTGGGGAGCATCTAAAACTACAGGGGGAACTTAGCATACTCACCAGAGTTCCTTTTTCGCTCCCATGTACTGGTGCGAAGAAGCACAGAAAACCACCATGAAGTCATATGTTCACCGAATTGCCACTTTGAAGTACCTGTAGATGTTAGGTTCCCAACTTCTTTCAGGTATCCAGTCACCCAGCCAGTGGATAACACCTCGCCTGCTTGGGGGTTTGGTTTCGCCACGAGAGATGCGAACAGGTGGAAGGTTTGATTAAGCTCAGTTAACAGTTAAGCTCTATTTTCCAGGGAAACGGCTCGGGAGTCCGAGCTTCTCTCAAGGGCCATCCGCCCAAGGGTTGGGCAAACGAACACCCTACTCGCCGCATCTTCAGTTGCCTTCACTGGCAGGACGCGATTCCCAGCGGGTCTGGAGCGATTGAAGATCGGAGAGTCCTTCAATCAGAGCTTGGATGGTTTCAACTTCCCAAGTGGCTTGAGAAGTCGCTTGGTGTTGTTTTTTCTCTACCAGATACCCCTTTTCAACGATCCCATGGACCCTGAAAACCACGGCCAGTAAAGGAAAACCATCAGACTCAGGGTACCATGCGACCCGGGACCATGGTTTGTTTTGGTGCCGTGCTAAGTCTTCATGGAAGTCGCTCATGGAAGTCAGACACCCAGTCTATCCAGATTTATGGATCAGATTTATGGATGCTGTGATTTTTCTTCGAGGCAACGCACCATGCACAACTCAGTCTTTGTCTTCTTTTTCAGCACATGCATGCAATGGCATGCGCATGCCCTGGCGAGTGAGGTTTGATCTTGGGACATGGCTTCCGCCAAAGCTTGGAGCATGTGAACTTCCCCACCTTGCAGCACCTCACGTGTCAAGGCCTTTGCATCGATTGTGCCTGAGTCATTGGGCATCGAAGCGCCGCTCGCGGAACTCGGAGAAAAACGCCACTCCGCTCTGAGCGTGGACATACGCCATGGATGCGCCGGTGCCAGCGGAGTGTGGATCCCAGAGGAGCGTGGAGTGGATCGAGTGCAGCGAGGAGTGCAGGCGAAGTGAGAGGTGTCTTGAGGCGAAGTGAGAACGCACGCCCTTGCGGGACGAACCCACCGGTCTTGCGATCGGAACGTCGTTCTGCGGTACACCGCGCCTGCCGTTCTGATTGGTGAGTGAGTCGTTCTGATTTGATGAGCGATGAGCAGTGGCGGAAAAGGACAGAGATCTTCGAGAAAGAAGGAACCCAGTTGTTTCGTCATTGCAATGGCAATGAACCTGGGTGCGGGGGTTCGAAGCTGATGAACTACTTTGAGGGAGATAACCATTCGAGCCATGGGTATGCTGTATGCTGCTCTACGAAGTTATTCAATGGTCTTGACGAAAGAAAGTGACAAAAGGAATTAACTAGTCTCTCTGCTCACGATAACGACCATTTTTACTTTTGCTCTTGGAGTATCTTGGGATATTCAGGCATGGCCATTGGACACTGCAGCTCAACACCCACCTGCTACTACTTCTTGACCAGCTGGGCCAAACTGTTGAACTGAGGTCAGACATTCGTGTTTTTTTGGAATAACAAGTTTGATGCGTGAAAGTGTTTAGCGACATGTGACATGTTACAATCATTTACAAGCGCACTTTATCAATGGACGTTGTATAGTACAGAATATTGATTCATTCATGAAACAGAATAGAACCACCCATTTGGATTAAAAAAAACAATGTAAAGCCTCTATACATAAGATTTAATATGAGGGTGTTTGATTAATCCACAGTCTACCTAGTCTACATGAGACATATTTGTGTTGAGGATCACAATATTTTAGGAGATAATATGATGATAATAGGATATATTAAGATATTACCTTGTTACTAGTAGCTTCTTACTAATAGTAAATGCCCTTGTTACTCAGTCTTCCTACCATCTTCCCCACCAGGGCGCTGACCACGACTCGGTGGCCGACCTGCGGGGACGGCCCGGGCCTTAAAGGTCGCAACAGGTGATAGGTGGGCTCGGATGGGCTCAGTGTGCATGTGATCATGGCCGAAGAGTGTAAGATATCGGACGTTTTTTTGCGCAAGGCTGCGCAGGTTTTCCAGTTTGCACAGGTCATCACTAGGATTGACGATAGCAGATACTACTGTAATTCAGTTCAACGTCATCACTGTAGGCATGCAGGTATCAGCGTTGTTCACCTTGCCAGCGCGGCAAAGCGGATCCACGTGCTTTCCTTTTCATTCATTTCAGAAGATGCGATAGTTTCTCTAGGAGCGACTGTCAGCGATAGTCTTAGCTATCGAGCCATGAGGACAAGTCAGACATTTGGTATCAACATGTAGCAAAACGCTGAATTTTTACAGTGATTGATATAGAATCCCTGGGAGTCCAAGACCATTTTTACAAGGGTCTTTATCCGAAAAGGAATGTCCTTTACTTGGGTGGTGGAAAATCGTCGAACTGGACGTCTAGGGGAATCATACTCATAGCAACATCCCCAAGAGTGAGGTTGACACGATGGGCCACGCAGCTTCAATTGCACAAACTAGGCTCAAGCCTCGCTTCTGTGCCCTGCAAACGTCGCCGGGCTGGCGATGTCTTGGAGCCGAACATCGGTTTTGGTGGGTTTCAGGGCGTTTGGGCAAGTCTTTCCTCTTCCGCACTCACGGTTGCTCCATGCTTTTCCAGTATAAGAAGACAGGGTGCCTTAGACACCCAGTTAATAGCAAATTTTACCAAGTGTTCAACTGGGTCCAGTGGGCCTTACTGATCATTTGCTTTGATTTGCGGCTCAAGTCGCTGGGCTGCTGGGTCCTGTGTGACGTCGCGAGTTGGGTCGCTGGGTCGTGGTCCTGCCAGGCTGGAAGAACTGCACGCGGAGGCCGCTCCGCCCAGTGGTGGGTTGGGGCTGCTGGGCTGCTGACTTGATCACGGTCCAGGTGTTGATTGCCCCTTGCTGGCCATAGTGTTAGGGGTTGATTCATCATGGTCGATCTAAACATGTCCTTTCATCTAGTCCAAGGCTGGCCGGAGGGGAATCAACCATACTTTTGGCTGTAGGACAATTGACAGACTCACTACGCTGTCAGCATTGTTGTCCTCGCTTGAGAAGGGCTAGTTTTCCGAGAATTTAGCCACTGAGTTTTTGAACCAGTGACATCTCTTGGGCAATGTCCCGCAAAAGCAAAACACTATCATGAGCAGCTACATTTTCACAGTTGCTTTGGCACTCAATTCCCCTTACCTCAATAAGATTGCAACAGCCCAATGGATCATGCTGTTGCGCAGGCCTATGACGCATCTCCGCCAGACATGGTTTCTGTTCCCTGTGACGTTCTTTTCAACGGAATCAGTTTAAAGACAAGTTTTCTTGACTACCCTTTGCCGGGTTCTACTGCCACACTTGCTCAACCAACACATGTTCTTTTTACGATGTCTTTTTTTAAAGGAAACCTTCAGCATAAGAAGAAACATAAGAAAAAAACCCTTAGCATAAAAACATAACCCACCCAAATCCAGCATAAAAACATAACTGTTAGCATTTAAAAAACACAAATATATTATTGTTTAATCTACTGTATGTTTTCCAGCTTGATTCGTTCAATTTGTCCGTGTGATGCCCGCCTGCTCTTGCCCACCCGCTTCTTGCTCGGGTTCCGCCGCTCCAACGGTGGGCGGAACGACAGCCTGGGCCTGGGAACGACAGAGGGATCTCTTAAGCCGTTGCTCCAGCTTTTTGATTCTCAAATGCGCACCTCCACCATTGCAAGACGAAGGCTCCGGAAACATGGGGAGAAGCCATGGACAAAGGCCTAATCCATCTTAATCCCATTCACAGTTTCTCTAATATTTTGCTCCTGTGAATTAAATGGTTACCTCATGTTACCTCCCAACATGTATATAGTATATCTACATACTACATTGTATATACTATAGTATATGATGTATATACTATACTATAGTATATTATGTATATATACAATATATGTATATGATGACAGCAACAGCAGTGTGTGAGCCAAATACTCGGAATACTCCCATCCGCCGGATCCCCATGGGATCCCCTTCCTCCTCGGAAGACGGAACTCCTCGGAGCTCCTCGCACCGAACTCGCCAGGTCCAAGGGACACGTGACCTACTTGGTGAGTTGGATCCTGGTGCCCGGCAGTGAGTTGCAAGAAGGTGTTCACGCTGAACGTGACGCTGAAAACGCATGAAGATGCATGAATTCATGCATGTGTTGTTTTTTTAAATAAGAGCTTTTAGTTGACTTGGAAGGACGGAAAGTAAGACGGTGGATGAATCCTTCAGCATCTTTCTGGGCCCTGCGGGCGCTGTGTTTGGTCGGCTGCCAGGGGAAGCTGGGATGAATGGAAAGAGCCTCTTGGCATCCATGTGTGCTCTGTTGGCTGGACTGCGCTCCACTCGGTGTTGAGGCCGATTGCGCAACAAAGGGACATCAATCTCACCAGGTCACACTCCAATGGTCCAATGTGGCCATCTGAACAATGAGCAGCCACACACATCATGTTATCCGGTTGATTCGTGAGAGGCCGGCTTTACTTCATTAGAAGTTGATCAAGTATTCGTCAAAGGTCAACATTGAACCATCATCAACAATTGCAGTTGGTGAGAAATGCATGTAAGACATGTCAGTGGGCAACTGGAGCCCTGGAGCCCTGGAGCACACCTTAACCATGGGTGGTTTTACCATGTTTGGGAGTTCTTTTCTGTTCATTTTGGTCAACCAGGGCGATCTCCGGGTGCCATGACCCACATCCGCTCTTCGGATGGATCTCCCGAGGCCCCAGCGGAGCAGCGGCGATCTGTCCAGGTGACAAGTGACGTGATCTCGGGGTTCCCAGAGAGCGATGTTCTTTTTCCAACAACGCGGGTGGTTTTTGCAGGGTCCAACGTGAAGAGGGTCGGGCAAGGTCTCCGAGGTTCTCGCGCTCGTGTCGCTGGAGAAGTGGGACTCCATTTCACTTTGGGGTTCCATGACCCTTGCCAAGACGCATCAAGACATCATGTGGAACAGCTTCTTGCCTGGTATCGGTCTTTTGTGCTTTACAGCTTGTGGGACCAATTTCGTCTTAAGGATTGCAGCAGAAATTAGCAGGAAAGAATCGCTATAAGACGTTTAGCATTGGTTCTGGAGGAAGCTCCGAACTTTCACGTCACAAGACCCACCTCTCTCACCACCGCAAAAACGAAGTCACAGGCGAGCGGTGGCTTGACCAATGAAGGCGCCGTGCCAATTTCCAGATCTCAGGCCTGCGATGCGGTGGGACCGGTCGCCGCGACGGAGATGGGTGTGTATGTGTATTTGAGGAGACCTCCCAGTTCGGAGCGATTGGAAGAAGAGAACATAGAGCAGAATCCTTTGGTTGGGTGTCTCCCAAAATACGCAGCCCATATGGCCCTTGGATCACTTTCGACATCGCCTATAGGTAGGAAGTTCTTTCATGAGCCGGTGTTCATCGATCCGACCACTGGAACGGTTTTCAAGGCCTCTTTCTTTTGTCCTTGGGCCTGATGACCTACCAAACAGAGTGGGGCACCAAACAGAGGCCCTAGGAGCCCAGGGCTGTCTCTCTGAACATCCGGAACAGGCACGATCACTCTCGCAGTTTTGCCTCGAAGATTGTGAGCAGCCATTTGCTTGAGTGAGGATGGCCTTGGGGTTCCGGGACCAGGTTCACTGAGAGAGGTCGACATCCGACCCAAGAAATTCCACATCCCGGTTAAATCTCTTTTCGAGGCGTGATTGTGAAGATCATACAAGTATCCAATCATATCCACAATGCGATTTGATTTTATTGTATAAATTTGATATTGTATATTGTAATATTTTCATGTCCTCACGAGAGGTGAGTGTCGCAAAATTTGAGCAGCACTGTAGTTCAGAATTGAATTAGATGTCAGTCCGAGGTGCCGTCTTCCAGAGTTGATATGCAAGGCAGTCTCCATTCAGAGATCTCAAGCCCTGCCTGCAGGCCGCAAGTTCAAATCTGGAGACTGTTTGCGAAGCGGAGCACGGCACACCACGGGCTCTTCGTGGCGATGGAGGACGGATGAAGTAGAATTGGTGGGGATGGGTCATGGTCAAAGCTAGTCCTCAAATCCCGGGGGCCTGTCCTTGAGCTCAGATCCCTCCCACTTGGTTTGGTCTCAGTGATATATACGAAGCCAAGGAAAGAAACCACGAACACCCACATCGACTGAGAACGCTCAGAGGCAGAAGTTAGACTTCTTCAGGATTTTCAGATAGGTTCTTTCTCCTTTTGTTCCTTTCAGCACCACTACCTATAGGTCTTCAGAACCTGAATCTGCAGATAGAGAGTCATACCGTTTTCGGACGTGCTGCAGACTCCGCGTGCGCCACCAGGACCGGACGATCGGCCGATCCGGGCGGCCGGCGGCGAGGCCGTCCGACGCGGCGGACCGCGGCTGAGACGGGGGAGAAAAGGGAGGAGCGAAGCCGCTGAGCACGGCTGAGGAGCGAAGCAGCTGACGTCATGTGGGTTTGTGGGACGATGGTTTTGGAGGTTGTGAGAAGTTGCGGGTTGGGGGTGGGGGGAAGGAAATTGGTGGCTTGCGTGTGGCAGGTGTGGACATGTGTGGACTGTTTACTTTCAATCAGTAGGACCAGGATTGAACAAGGGTTATTTATAGGCCTAAAATGGTCTAGGCGGTCTAGACATAGGTCTATCGGCATCGATCGTTTCAGTCTTGGAATCAGAAGTATGTTGGGGCAAGTGAATCCATTTCCTTCTGAGGTCAAAGAGTGCCCTCAGGATCATGGTCAAAATACTTGTACACGAGGACATTGTAGGTTGAACCTTGTTAAACGGAGACACTGGAAGGCGGTGAAAGAGCACTGGTAAGAATCAATGGACAAATTAAGTGTCCTGAAATGACCATCATTCATCCATAGGTGAAGGCGAACACAGTTATTGATGCGAGGGCCATTTCAGAAAGTATGCAAACTGGCATATCATATTTGTTGCATGTCTAGTCTGACTAGGACATACTTGGATCGATATATGTTTTGTTTCTGCCTCTCTAGTTGAACGCGGAAACAGTTGTTTGTTTGCTTGCTTGCTTGCTTGCTTGTTTGTTTGTTCGTTCGTTCGTTCTGTTTTAGCTCTCATGGTGGACCCTGATCTTCACAGATGTCACGGATGTTCCGGATTTTGGGAGAAAAACGGGAACTTCTCGGGTGGATCATTTTGGTCGGCGATGCCAGGATGGTGCCACCCCCGCAGCTCAAATAGGGAGACCGACACCCACGACTCCCTGGACACCGAACGACCAGTCTACCGGGGTCTACCGGGGTCTACCGGGGTCTCCATGTTGACATACATACCCACATACTCAGCTCTTTTGTGCATTCATTCCTTGGAATTTCAGAGGGAGAAGAATCGAACCAGCAACGTTGCACCCTTTCATATTCTTTCCACACACACCCATGTTTATAAGCTGTAAACAGTATAACATTGACAATTGATGATGCTGGTCTCACCTTCACCTCACGGGAAAGTCTACCCGACTTAACCAAATCTGTTCATAGATTGTTGATTTGGACCCAAGTTTCTGATGCAGCGCAGAACAAACATCCGCAGGTCTCGGTCTCCACGTGACCCAGTGACCATTGTGAACCACTCTCAGACCATCCCAAGTCTCGCTTCTATCGATGACGTTCCTGGCCATGGCGCATTCTCGCCATGTGGCCTTCGGCCAAGACGTGTTGCCGCAGAGGACGGGAGGATCAAGTCGCGGCATCTCGAGGAAGGAAGGAAGTTGGACCAAGTTCCACAGCAGGGAATAAGTCGGAACACACACACTTAGATGGTTGCTCGCAAGAGCTAGGATCAGAATGAAGTCCCACTCTAGTGAATACGATACCAGCTGCAAATTAGACCTCGACTTGCAAACGGAAAGGTGGAGGAGTCCGCTTCAACTGTATTGTTTAACAAGGGTGAAACAGTGACTGCACGGGCTTCTTCAACGAGTCAATTAAAAGTTGGTGCAGGTACGTCGGAGTGGCCAACTCCGATGTCACCAGATCAAATGGACGTCTTCGTTGGTAGCGGTCCCAAATGATCTGCCGCTACCCCCTGCCTCTTTTTGCTCGCGCTGTTAGAATTAGTTTTACATGCTAGACATTGTGTGCGGCCTTGGAAACAGGCTTTGACACACACACACACACCACGCCGATATCGGCGCTCAGACGAATTACTAGCCACCTAACAAGCGTTAGAAAGACAGAAAAAGAAAAACAAAAAAGCACACGAAGAGGGCAAAGAGAAAGGTAGGGGTAGTGACGAGGCCCCCTAGTTACTGGACCTCTAGTTACAGCCCCTACGGGCCCTACGATTCGAATTGGTTTCAAAACTTGATAATGTGTGCAGCCTTAAAAACAGGCTGTGACACACACATCACGCCGATAGCGGCGCGGAAGGAAAGTACTAGCCACCTAACAAGCCTTAGAAAGAAAGAGAAACAAAAGACAGAAAGAGCAAACGAAGAGGGCAAGAGAGAAAGATAGGAGTAGTTACAAGGCCCACTAGTTACGAAGCCTTCTAGTTACACTAATTAAGTGCAATAGTTAGCCAGCGGGACTTTAGTCTTAGACCGCCCGGGTAGCTAGGACTAGGACAGGAGAAACAGAAGGAAAGGCACCAACACACAAGTGTGTTGAGTGCGATTTCCTTCTGTTACCCTAGATAGCGGGTGGGATAGCAACCAAGGCCAGGGGCAAGGAGGGTGGGTTGGGGTGGCCCGAAGGCATTGCCATCACTGGCGTTCAAGTAGCCGCATTCGGCGCTCTTTGACTGAAGCCTAAAGAAACCTAGAGAAAGGCCTCCAGAAAACGAAAAGCAACAGCAGGAAAGAAAAACCAAACGTACCAAAAAAGTCACTCACGTTTCTCGCTCTCCTCCGGCCTGTGAATACTTAGCAGCATCAAGTAAAGCCGCGTTCGGCACATCTTTGACTGAAACCTAAAGAAACCTAAAGAAAGGCCTCCAGAAAACGAAAAGCAACAGCAGGAAAGAAAAACCAACCGGACCAAACAAAAAAGCCACTCTCGTTTCTCGCCTGTGAATACTTAGCAGCATGACGTGGACATGTGATTACTTAGCAGCGTGCGAGAATCCTGACTGGAATTTGATCTCAGTAAGCCCTGCGGCAAAGTATCAGTGGTATCGTGCAAAGCGGTCAATCAAGGGGGTTGCAGAACGAAGTCCCAGTGCAGAGACGGAGCAATCAGGGTGGGTCCCCCAGGATCTGGGTCTGTGCACATGCTGTGCCCCTCGACGGGGATCGCACCACAGCCCTCAGTGGGACTCTGTGGCGACACACACTTAGATGGTTGCTCGCAAGAGCTAGGATCAGAATGAAGTCCCACTCTAGTGAATACGATACCAGCTGCAAATTAGACCTCGACTTGCAAACGGAAAGGTGGAGGAGTCCGCTTCAACTGTATTGTTTAACAAAGGTGAAACAGTGACTGCACGGGCTTCTTCAACGAATCAATTAAAAGTTGGTGCAGGTACGTCGGAGTGGCCAACTCCGATGTCACCAGATCAAATGGACGTCTTCCTTGGTAGCGGTCCCAAATGATCTGCCGCTACCCCCTGCCTCTTTTTGCTCGCGCTGTTAGAATTAGTTTTACATGCTAGACATTGTGTGCGGCCTTGGAAACAGGCTTTGACACACACACACTCATGTTAAGGAGTTCGTGTTACTAGTAGTACTGCAATGCCCTTGTTGCTAGTAGCGATGCACTTGTTACTAGTAGCGCAATCTTTTTCATGTATATATAGTCATCGGAGCTTGTTTAACTGGCAGTGAAGTTCCATGTATTTTTATGCAAACGTTTGAAAGTTGATGTCGGGATGAACGTTGATGAACTGGCCGCGCAAACGACTGCATCACAAATCCACAACACACTGTTCTCTCCCAAGGAGCATCGGTCACTTGCTTCAGCTCGATCCAACACAACACACACACACACTCATGTTAAGGTATACTTGATTGATTGATTTTGATTGTATATCAACCCTCCATATGAATAAAAATATTTTACAATGGGGGTCTTATTAATCAAGAGTCTATACTCATGGGTGTGTGAATTGAATTTTCCAATTCCATCTGGAACCCAAAGAACGCATGACCTCACACGCATCTGGATTTTTCAGACGCACCTGACGCCAGTGTCCTGAAAAGCCGCCTCCTCAGACGCACGAGTCGTGCTGGCCCTTTTTTGATGCTCTTGGCAGGAAGCCTCCTTGCAATCCTGGTGCTCGTCGCCGTTTTCTACTTCATCCAACAAACCCAGCTGAGTGCTCCGCTCCTTCTGGGGCGCGATCTCGAGCGCTCTACAGGCCAAACGACCGAACAGGTCGGAGCCACCCGAGCTGCAGTGACAACGCAAGGTCAAGGTCGTGCAAGCAACGCATCAAACGCATCAAAGCTATGTGAAGGGCCAATGTCCACCTTCATCCGAGACTCAGTCTAACTATATAGTCGACTACTGTAGCTCTTGTTCGACGTGGGAGCTGGGTTGTTGTGGGTCCAAACACCACTGAAGATGAATTTTGTGGACTTGTTGGGGGACTAGCAGCTAGACATAGCTAGACACAATTCCCCACACAAGTGTGGGAAGATGAATCAAGATGTGACAGCAACCCAAGTGATACCATGAAATGACTCCTGTTTTTTTGGGGGGGAGCAGAGAACTTCTAGTGATGAGAGCTGATCTATTTGGATCATTTTGGATCCATGTCTTTTAAATCTTGAACCCGGCCTTTGCACCTAAGCCGATTTTGCCTTTTTTGTTTTGGATTCAGGAGAGAATTGTTTTTGGAACCTCAAGGTTTCCAGGTTTGCCTAGCGAAGATTCTTGGAGAAGCAGACTTCTGGCACTGGTTTGTGCACGCATTGCATGCAAACATCAACAGTCAATACCTTGAACCCAAGAGTTTCGGTATTGACATGCCAAGAGACAGCAACGTCTCAGGCCATCAAGGTCTTGTTGCTTTTTTGGTGCATCAACAAAATCAGGTCTTTACTCTTTACAGCATTTTACAGCATCGCGTCCACATTGACTGAAGTGCAGGGAGCGGAGCGGATGGACTATCTTCATGATATCTCCAGTGCAGTTGTTCATGTATTCACATCTACGCAATTACATCATGTTGTGCGTTGCAAGAGCAAACCAAGGTGATCATACTCTTAACTTTCACCCCCCCACTTCAGCGCTTGAGTCTACGGACCTGGGTACGGCGCTCCATCCCTGCCGGTTCCGAGGATCTGGGGGGCGATTACCCGTGGTGCTACTGGCGCATGGGAGGCCCATCGTTCTGGAACAGACTCTGAAGAGCCTCATGGCCTTACGCGGCTTCTCGCCCGACCGCAGCTCGTCTGAAGAGCTAGGAGAGCAGCTTGAAGTACAGGCAGAGTCGAGACCAATAAGTTGAAGGTCTCTTGGAAGGTGTGAACATGTTTGAACGGCTGCGCCGCAAATAAGAAGACTCACTTCAAATCCAAGCAAGGTGTGAACACATTGGGGTCATCTTGGGTCTATCTCAGAACAAGGTGACTTGCCGGCTTCCCGAACCATTCATATTTAAGTTGTCCTGGATGATGCTCTAGAGGTCTACACTTGGTCTTGCGATGTTGAAAGAATCTTTTGAGCTACCTGGACTAAACAGGGGCTCCAGCTGAATAACCCTCTCTCAGATACAGAAAGGTGCGACCATGAACTGCATGAAGATCATTTCAAGAGAAGAAACAGGTATTCTTAGTTCCACCTCAATGATCCTCGATGTTTTGTTCAGGAGAGCCTGGGAGAGCACGGAAAATATCACTGGTTCCCAGAGTATTTCGGGTTTGCGCCTGATCAATCCGGTGTGCGCCTCAAATGAGCTCAAGAAAAGCCACCAAACCTGCCTGTTTTTCGCATCCAACCTCCAGGTGGATGCCGAAACAACCACGAAACAACCACCACCGTCACCCGTGTCCGCGTCCGAGCGGACCGACCACCTCCGCTCCGCCACGCTCCGCCTGACTCGTCCGATCGATGCAGGTCTTCTGGTGTGTCAAGACGGTCAGGACCCGACAGTGCCCTGGTTGGAGCGTCGAAGACCACGCTCGGTCTGACCGACACGACGAAGACCGAGACACCTTTTCTTTGTGGGATGAGGGAGAGAAACGAAGGTACTGAGCCAGGAATGCCTCCGTTTCATGGCAGACGGATGCATATGGGATGGCTGCGGATGGCTGGACAAGAAACAAACAACTCCTGCCCACGCCTGCAAAATTGTTGGTAGGTTTATGTAGGTTTCATTAACATACGGTGTGGCTGAACAAGAAAGAACTCCTGCTTACGTCCGAAGCTCATTGTCTAGGTGAGTCAGCTGCTGTCCACCTTGGGCATTGCGAGTGTGAAGCATCAGCCTCCCCGGCGGAGCGGTGTCACTGACGCTTGGAAAGTTGCAGCCAACAGGACCGGCCGAAAGGGCAGGGACCCGGAGAAAGGGGCCCGGTGGCTCGGAAGCGAAGTGCCCGTGCTCGATTTTGGAGGGCTTCTGCGGGTATTGCGCTTACAAAATGGTGTAATATACACACCAAAAATGTCCACCCCAAATGAGACACATTGATGATAAAGAGCTCAGCAGCTTTGATCAAGATTGTGGTGGACTTAGAGACTTGCCAATTCAACACGTTTCTTTTTCCACTGTTGCAACATGTTTGTTGCTTATGCCTTTCCTTCAATATATTGATTTAGTGAGTAATTTGGTCGACTGTAATGGATTTGCCTGAGTTGCACTTCGTTGCGAGTCAGGCCACTGTCCCTGATCATGCTTGCAGCTTGTCCAAGAATTAACCAAGAGCTACAGCGCTTGAGAGACTTAGTACAACAAAACATGTGGACAATTCAGCTCTCCTTTTGCTATTAGGTTGGAGGCCATCGCTCTTCCCTCCAGAAAATCCACTTCCTGGGAAGGTCTGCCTCTTGACCTCGCTTGACCCCGGGTCATCTGAACCCGCGAAGCACCGGAGGATTTCCGTGCACTACAAGTGGAGCATCGAAGTGGCCTTCCTACGCTTCGATCCTGCACCAGGTCGGGTCATGAGCGAACGACCGGTGCGGTGAGGAGACTGGGGAGGATGACGAAAGTTCTCCGGTCACTGTGTTGTTTGGTTCTTTGTAGTTTTGCTGGAAGTATACACAGTGTCCCAAGTGCTACTGAAGGAAAAGCTCTGCCCAAATCACCTCAAGCCTCTTAGAACAACTTGTATTTCCAGTGATTTTTTTGATGACAAACTTGTTTCTTCAACAAAATCGTTGGTGCTTCCAACTCACTACTCGACAGCCATGCTAGCTGTATACTTCGGGCCTAGCAACACTGTTCCTCAGTTCGGGACTGCCACTCTGCCAGAGGATGAATCTGGAACGACCAGGTCTCATGCTGCCTACGCGGGAAAAGAGGATAAGCTGCCCAAGCTTTTTTGGGGGATTGGGTGTCCCACCCCACGTTTCACAAGAACAGATGGGAACATGGTGGACAGTTTGGTGAACCTTTGTTTTCATTGCAGGGGTCTCCGGCTCGGAAGTCGTGTGTGTGTGTGTGTGCGTGTGTTTTGTTTTTTCTTTTTCTTTGTTTTTACTGCTTTTTCATGAGGCCTCATCATCGTGGAAGACGACTTGCTCTTTGCGCCCGACTTCTTCACCTATTTCCAGGCGAACTTTTGAATCGGTCCGGCGTGCGAAACGCATGGCCAGGCCGGAGCGCTTGCGAAATGCATGGCCTCCAATTTGAAGAGACGATACAATATCCCTACCCCCTTATGATCGGTTCCGGGAGGGGGGCACCTCAAAAAGTTAAGTTACATCTTCTGGTGGGGACCCTACAGGGGGTCTAACATTGTACCTTACCCCCTCAGGCACCATCGTGACGGGTAAGGGGATGCCCCAAAAAATGTAACTTGTGACCTGGCAGGTGCATACCTACATTTTACAACCCCTTTGGGGATCGCTAGGACATCGCTAGGGCCAGGCCTGAACTTACATTGTAAACCCTCCCAACATCCCCCAACTGCTACCTAAAGCGTTCGCTTGAACTGTTCCAGACGCCACCAATGAAGCCAAGTGAACATCCTGACTACGCACACAAAATGATGCCTCACCACCGAGGAACAATTAAATTAACCTCCAAACATGTAACTTACAATTGGGCCACACACCCAAACCATGAGATTTGTTCCAGGAAAACCTTCGTTATGTGAGAAATGTTGACCTCACAAATAGTAACTTACATTTTGCCCACATCCGCAATTCCTCAGAATGTACAAGGAACTGGGATGCCCCCCTGAATCAATTACACTTTAGCATTCTCCAAATCACACGCAGGTGTTTTCACTCCGCGGAGCGCAAGAGCCAGGGGACAAGCAGCCAGGGCACCATGGAGAAAACACAAAAAGACATCTCCCTTGTTGTGTAGCATGTGCATGATCCTTTGCTACGTGTTTTCTTTACAGCTGCTTGGGGAGACCAGCTAGAACCCGATAGCACAACCGTGACAAGCTGGTGCCCCAGAATTGTCTTCCCCAAAATCGTGACGGTTGCCGATCAAAAGTGGCACCACCAATGAACCACATGCACTTCAACATTGATATTCCTTTTTGCTTGGGAGTCTGATTTGGGTGTGTGGCTGTTCTTCTTTGTTGATGATAACTCAGACCAACTCAGACCAACTGCTGTTCCATCATGTTTGCTTTCAGCAGCAGGCAGCAAGCCACACAAAACAATAAAAGGCACACACACACAAAGCAAATAGGAAAGGGAAAAGGACACACACAAACACACACTTTGACAATTGTATTCAGTTACACTCAATTCCCAGGTAGAATGGTGATGGAACGGAAAGGTGAAAGAGTCAGCGCATAAAGTTTAACATATTGTTCGCGTGTCTGCAGATCAATCAGCGCGGCTGCACATCAGCAGTGGAAAAAGGGTTTGTGGGGAGTAGCATGAAAACCACCATGGAAGCAACCAAGAAAGAGTGGAGTGACAGCTTGTGAAGAACTCAGCAGGTACATGGTTGAGCGTCCTCAACCACTTCCCTTCCAGTGACCCAGCTTCGTTGGATCAGGTTAGTCACTGGAAGCCTGATCCCCCTGCCGGTGAAACTGTGGGTAGAAAGTGGGGGTTGAAGTGGCGGTAGGAAACCCTTGGCCCAGGGGTTGACACAGACAGATCGCCGTCATCGGCGCTTTTTTCAAAAGCGGTGGCAGGCGTTGTGTAGAACGTTGAAAGTGGAGCTTTGTACAGAAAGCGCCAATATTGGCGCGCGAAAAAACTAAAAGCCACCTAAAAAGCCTTAGAAAGACAGACAAAGCAAACAAAACAAAAGCAGACTAAGAGGGCAAGAAAGAAAGATAGGGGTAGTTACGAGGCCCACTTAGTTAAATGAAAGTAGAGCGCGAGCGGGACATTTGTCTTAAACCGCCCGGGTAGCTAGCAATAGGCTAGGAGAAGCAGAAGGAAAGGCACCAACACACAAGTGTGTTGAGTGCGATTTCCTTCTGTTTCCCGAGTAGCGGGTGGGGTAGCAAAGGGCCCAGGGGTAGGGAGGGGGAAAATGCACAGTTAATTTGTCCGGCCTGTGAATACTTAGCAGCACATGCACATGTGAATACTTAGCCGTCAAACAACTCAGAAACATGCAGAAAAAACCTTGCAAATGCCGGACACGATGAAACCGTCAGTTCCCGTGGTGAGGCCCGGCGGCCGTGGTGGCAGTTAATTCGGTGGTTGTGTAGGTGACTTCCTGTGGGATTCCTGTGAAGAGTGGTGAGGTCAGTTAATGCTTGCACGATGAGACAGCGCCCCAATGACGGGGATCACACTCAGCACCCGAGTGGGACGGCTGAGCGAAACACACTTTGACAATTGTATTCAGTTACGCTCAATTCCCAGGTAGAATGGTGATGGAACGGAAAGGTGAAAGAGTCAGCGCATTTGAAAAGTTTAACATATTGTTCGCGTGTCTGCAGATCAATCAGCGCGGCTGCACATCAGCAGTGGAAAAAGGGTTTGTGGGGAGTAGCATGAAAACCACCATGGAAGCAACCAAGAAAGAGTGGAGTGACAGCTTGTGAAGAACTCAGCAGGTACATGGTTGAGCGTCCTCAACCACTTCCCTTCCAGTGACCCAGCTTCGTTGGATCAGGTTAGTCACTGGAAGCCTGATCCCCCTGCCGGTGAAACTGTGGGTAGAAAGTGGGGGTTGAAGTGGCGGTAGGAAACCCTTGGCCCAGGGGTTGACACACACACACACACACACGCAGTGTGATTGTTACATATTGTAACACATCGCGCCCCCAAACCAAAACTGTCATGTTGCAAAAGCATGCAACGCCTCCACAATCATGCATCCACAACTGCCCAAACCAGAAAATCATCAGGGGGACGTCAACAAATGTAAACCTCCCACCGGGCTCCAAAAATGTAACTTACATTGTTGAGGTCATTGCCCAGTATATGACACCTGTGGCCTGAAAAGCATGTACTGTAAGTTACATTTTTTCAGGTCCCAAACATAGGAAAATGATGGAACATGTAACTTACATTTTTTCCCCCCCCCCCCCGACAAAATACGTGGTTTCCCGTATGATACAACGGCCTTCAGGCATACATTCACTCTGCCCAGGACGAAGTGATATTGATATTTGTTGAGGTCACCTCCTCCCTCCAGACGCCACCTCAGACTCCAATCAGGTCACGCCTTGGAACACTATCCGACAGGGTAAACTCGGTCACGATTTGGTCGTCAGTCGCGCCTGGGCTCACCGGAGAGGAATGAGCAGCGACTGAGCATCGTTCGATCCTTCGAGCCTTTACGACGCCGGTCCGCCGGTCCATGCTTACGAAGGCTGCGCCGTTCCCTTGCAACCCATTGTGAGCTGCATGAGGCGTCGCGTGAGCTACCCAGGGGTTCTTACTTCAAGCAGGAAGAGATGCATGTGGGCGCAACCCATTGTTTGTTCCTCTTTTTCCCCTACCGGGATGATACACCACAACGCAGCCCGAGGCCGCACGGCGCCCTTCGGTCGCTTACGTTGGACCACCGTGGTCGACACCAAACCAGGCCACGGCGCCGCTCGTCGACTGCGATTCGAGCGTGTGGGTGATCTCCGCGTGGAATGACAACGGCTTTGAGACTCGGCGGCAGGTGGGCTGTCTGGAGATCCATCCGGGTGGGCGTCCTGTCTGGAGATGAATCCTGTGTAGTCCATTGGACAACCAGTGGATCGTCCTGGTTAGAGAGATCAAGCCTTTCCGTGACTTTCCGTGGGGATTTTTTTTGGTCAGGTGGAAGAAAGATCACTGTAATGAATGTGACAGGACTACCACTTACTGTAAGGCTTAGTAAGGTATCTTAAGTTTTTCTAGTGTGTACACTCCAAATCAGTAATCTAGGAACTGCAGGGGATTGGAGTAAATTGGGAATAGAATAATGGGGACGATGTCATGCGATTTCTATCAAAATTATCGTTGTCTACTAATGAATGCCAATGACTAATGACTTGAATTTGCAGTTGTGCCGTGGATTTGCCTGAGCTGTGGCTGTAGCCATGACCCCACACAAATTGTTTTAAAAGGTCTGCTAGGACCTACAACGATCCATGCCCTTCCTTTGCTCAGTGTGCACTTCCCCGAAGTCTGTGGGAGAGCGGGTCATGTTCCCACATTGTGCCCAGGACAACCTGTGATAAGGAGAGATGGAACACTTATCATCCAGACATGACATATATTAATATATATAGAGTAATACAATAGAGTAATACGTACGTAGGTTGCAGTGCGTAGGCAACACATGGCAAACCATGCGGACATCGACGCTTGGGTGAAATCCTTTTCGGCCGCCACCGCCATTTGGGCGCCTCCGGCGATCAGGAACACTTGGTGCACGATCCCAAGCGACTGCAACGGACGGAGTTTATGCCTGGCTTGGGTGGCCCGGTGGAAAAAAGACCGGGCGTCCCAGTTTGGGGGAGGACGGGAGTGGGAGAGATGGACATATTTGGTAACATCATGTAACATCCCAAACTCGATGTCAAGAGATGTCAGAGGTGCTGCTAAGTCAACAGTACGCCAACGACACCATCAATCCAGCGGTATCACAGCATCACATTCCACCCAAACCCGATTCTCCCCTGTCACAGCTGTACTCTCCTGCGCCTGTCACAGCCCTCCATGCCTTCCATTTGCACGTAGCCGTTTTCACACGTCCTTCCAGTATCTTTCCGTATCTTGCGACCGGTCAGGTTGGCTACTGCAACGAAAGGTTTGGCAGGAACTGAAAGGTGGTTGGCCCACGGAGATGAGCCTCTTGGATATTAAACCAGACCATCTTGGTCGGTGGGCGGGGTCTAGTACCAGCTATTTTCTTTGTTGCGTTAGCTTCAATTGTAAAGGAATCGGTCATTGGATGTTCACTGATCTGGGCATACAGTGATGCAAGGTGCCCAAGCAACAAACATGCAATTTGCAAGGGTAGTTCGTGTCATTGAGATGATTCAGGTGGACATTATCGTCTCAGCGAAATTGGAACAAGAAGGACACCGACTCCAAGTCTGGAGTTCAATGGTGTTCACATTCTTTGACCAGCTCAGTTGGAGCCAGCGTTTTTATTCCTTCAAACAATATAGGATGCTAACTCTGGCTCATGCCATTGCACTGCTGCTGAGCCACTCCTGACCGCGCAAGTGTCCCAGAATTCTTCCAAAGGCAAGAGCCAGTTGTACCAGTACGTGCTTGTGGGTATCCTTTTTTAGCGTCTACGTTCAAGAGAAGGTGTTTATTCTTTGGTTTCCCTACTTTAAAGAAAACATGACATCCAAAACAAACACGGTTGAGTCTATATATCCAGTATACGGAAGGCAGGCTCCCAGAGGTTCAGAAGCCGGAGCCGCTTGGAGATGCGTGTTTTCGCGCTCGCAACACACAGGGTGCAGTTGCGCTGTGACTATGTAAGACCTTAATTGGTCCCAAATGGGAACGGGCAGAGGTGTCTTAAGTGATTTTCAGCCAGTGCTAATGAGTTGAGTCTTCACGTTAGTAACTGTCGCAGATGAAGCATAGCAGCTAAACCGCCTGGGTTCAAACATCGCCCACACACACACACACACACATCTTTTAGGTCTTTTCATTCCCCTTTCACCAGCGCATCGCCTCGCGCTCCGTCTCTCTGATCTTGCACACCTCGCCGTCTCCGAGGTGCTGGGGCAGGTCACCTCCAAACCTTGAACTGGGATCATTGGATGAGGGACCCAACTCAACATCGAGGCCTGCGGGCTCGCCGGCTGGCCACGGCCCAGCCGTGGCCCGGTCGGTCTGCCGGTGCGGAGGCGGAACGAGCTCCGGATTGCTGTCACAGAGTTGGTGTGGTCCGTGCTCAAGTTCTTCAACTGGAAGAGTTTTCTCTTTCATCAGGTACAGTCGAACAAACATCCTCTCAGGTTTACAAACGATGCGCGGTCGGTTCACGTCGTTTCGGTCACGCTTCGGCATGGGCGCGAAGAGGAAAACCTCGGTGCAGGACGCTCGGTGCTCTTCCCCCAAGTGCCCCGGGCCTTTCACAATGGCAGCGCAGCTCGGCGCGAGGGACTGATCAGGAGAAAGGACTGGTGGTTAGGACCCTCTTTTAGGCATCTAAAGGCCTCACAAATGTGGACTTGATGGATGTCTATGTCGGTAGAGAGTCAGCAGTCCTGAAGGACCCGGATTGAGTCGATTTCCTGCCAACATGGTTGTGCGATGGTGGTCCAGACAGTATGTATGTTACCGTATGTGACAGTGAAGAGGTTCTCGGCTACGTAATGCTTTTATGATTTGACCAGTGATTTGCCTTGCCTTTGGCACCTTGAGCCTCTAGAGTGGTGCTTTCTTGATCGAAGAAGTCATGGTCTTCAGTCAGGATGAACATTTGCCTGGCAAGCCAGAGGGAAGTCGTTGCTTCTATTTCTTGAAGCAGACCAAATCACCAACCTGACCCAACTGGACTCACGGACCATTCGTCAGATGATTTCTTTCGGACCATGCGTCCGCGACCGACCCGCCCCGAGCGCCCCGTGCGCTCACCGAGGTGGGCACCTTCATGGATCCCACCATGCACAAGCGCTACTTCGAACGGATCTTGACGAACCAGGACGGTGCGGCCGGGCATGTGGGGGAGGAAGACATGTCCCGGACGAAGCCATGGAAGTCGAGGAACGAAGCGGTGGAACCGCAAAAAAGGGGGTGTGTGTGTGTCTTTTTTTTGGGGGGGGAAATCGGTTCAATCTGTGAAGCAAAGGACTTTTTCAAAAGCTCTTAAAGATGATCACTATATCATACTTGTAAAATCTCGTAAACTTACTGGGCGGTGTTTTCTCTCAACCATGGGACTTTAGTCTTTAGCATGCTATTTTTTTTAAACATACACCTTCTGTGCATGATCGCTGCAGTTTGCAACTGTGCTGGATCTAACTGCTACATGCACGACCTTCATGCACTGGACAATGCTGAATATATCGGACAAACAAAGCAAACATGAAGAACATACAAGGTGGCTCGGCTCGATGGTGAATGGAGAATCGGAAGGTCTACCTCTTGAACATCATAAAGAACTACCTGAGCTTTTGTGAGAAAAAATCATGCAGGTGTGAAAAATGCAGCAATGTGCTCTTACTAGGTACTGTAAACAAAAGTCACCAACGGGTGATACTGTGAAGCAAACCATGAATGACGGTGAATGAACTACCCAACTAGAGATTGCTTAGAGACTGTCAACATTTTGTAGCACTTGTGAAGTACCGGTGAATCAGATTTTGTGCTGACCGGCTTATGGAAGTGGCTGGCGCAGCTGCGACCCTGGCAAAGAATTGCCAAGGCATGCCAACACCAAATTTATATTACACAGTCGTTTGTTCCCGTTTGGCTATTGGCTGTTAATGTCAGGTGTGTCCTGAGGTCTGCTGGTTTTGTGTAGGCAAGCCTTTTGTCAATTATGTGTATGTACATATATATATATATATGCTAAGCGTGTATACAGGATATGGGTTGTCGCCGTTGCGGTTGCCATTTCATGCTCCATTATAGAATGATATTTGTGCGATTTGTTGAGATTTGTTCAGAGTATGCAGATGATGGTGTTGGATTGATGGACAAGATGATTGGTCAGACTGAAACAAAAGTGATCGGAGAGCAGTTTTCGGAGTGATCTCGTCAACTAGTTCTCAATCCAAGTGCACTCTTCAAACTTGTCTCATGGAATGTGCAAAGCGACAAATCCAAGAAACATTCCGAACAGTTTCCAGGTGTGTAGACTTGATTCTCCAAGACTGCAGCTGCTGATCTGGCCATTTTTCATGTAAGCAAGCAAGATCCATCAGGTTTGCAGCATCAACCATCGAACCGCTCTTCAGGTCTGACCGCTTTACCCTGGGGACCGAACCACGGTTCTGGCAGAAACCGACGGTTCGGCGCGTCCAGGAGGAGGTGCTTTGGTGGATTCCAGAGGGGGAGAGTTCACTGGATGCCGATGTGCTTCAAGCTCGAGAAGATCACTACGAGGCACCGGACTTCGACTTAGGTCGCTCGGAAGTCGAAGGATGTCGCTTTTCTGTGAAAAGAAGCAGAACTGGTTGGATGATGTTGGATGCCTATCAAGATCCAAGAAGCAAATTTGTTCTGTTGCAAAGGCTCCTTTCCAATGAAGCCATTTCGGGGACGGTCATGTCAGAGAAGTTGCTTAGCTGGTTGATGTATTTTGAGTCAAAGGAAGCACTTCATCGTAGTTGAGTGGGATGTTTTCGGATGGCCCGTGCTGAAGATCTTGCACAAGATAGGGAAGACATACTGCTATTTCTAGTGTTGTGTGTCAGTTACTTGACTTGAATATACTTCAGGCGATATAACATATGTGTTGTATTACATTAGATTAGGCAGTATGTTTATTTTTTGCCGGTTATATAGATTGTATAAATCCCAGGAGCTCTATAGAGTTAAGGGAGCTCCGGGTGTCAGCTCCCAGGGTCACCACGGCTGAGGCACAGATCGCCCTGAAGTTGAAGCACGCGCACGTGCGGCTCGGAGAGTCCAATTGGCTCCGGTCAACGGTTGTTTGGGAGATCGATGAACAGGTCACTTCACATGGGTTGAAAAGGAGACATCGAAGTTGACCCCGGAAGATCTAGGCACTTCTTTGGTTCAACAAACACAGATGTAATTATTCTTAAAGAAGGCCACTGTGCCATCCCATGGCAGGAAACACACCGTAGAACCCCCTGCCTGCCTAGTCAGGAACAGCAGTTTTTCACGTGCAGCTGAACACAGGCAGCAAAGAATAAGGTTGAGGTTTAGGTGCGCAAAAATGGTGGAGGCATGTCTGCATTTTTTCAAGTCACATCGAAAAAAGAAGTACTGCCGTGTCTTCTTCGAGGCTCAGCGTGCCCAGTTGGGGTAGTTGAGACATCTTTCCCTTGTTCGGGAGGGATAGGCGTGAGTGGTAGGTCGATCTACAAATGCTTTGACCAGGAGTCCTGGGCCACCAGAAACCGGGGCTTCTCACGTGTGCAAGCACAAGTAGACGAAGGGCGGAAGGGCTTCAAGGGCTTCAAGGGGGGCCACACGGAAGCTGAACAGGATTTTGGCCATGTTTGCATTCGGCTTGGCATGGAACAAGCGGGTTCAGCACCTCACCTGCGCAAATGGGCAGTGCAGAATGGTTTGAGCTCCCGGAGTTAAGCCTGAGTTAAATCATGTTGAAGCCTTTCTTTCTCGTCCAACTTGACGGACAGCGACTTCAGCGACTTCAGCAAGGCGCGCAGGATCACGCAGTCCATCCCAGGCCTGGCGTACCTCAACATGTTCGGCGGCGCCCTGGCCTGGCTGGAGCGAGGCAGCGGGTTCTTCAACCCACAAGACTTGCCGTTTTGGTTGTTCTTGGGCTGCCTAGGTGGAGCAGGGTTGCGGCCGTCTTCATTCTGCGGACGTGTTGTAGAGGCGTACAGTGGACTGCGCTTGCCCCAAGGAAGCGGTTGCAGCCTGGCTAGGGCTCTTAAGCCTGGGCCATACAACAGTTGCCAAGGTAAGCACCTTGAAGGCGCGTTGTTTGGGGCAAAGGGGGCTGGTGCCAACTGCATGCTATCCGCGAGCTGCTAGCCACCTGCAGCTGCTGCGTCCCCCCACTTTGTGGCAAACGCGCGACCGAAAAGACAGTGCAGTTTTCCTGGTTGAAAGGTTCGTAGAACCACCCTGCCCGTTCTTCAGGAGGTAACAACGGTTTTTCAGGTGCAGCTGAACAGAGGTGCGCATAATTTACCTGCCCTGCCTCCCTTGGAAACGACAGAGGAAAGTGGAGGCATATGCAGAGAAGTTTCTGCAAGTGCTTGCCAGCCCATGTTTTTGAGTGTTGGCTGTTGGGCTTGCTTGCACCTGCTGCGTCGCTCTACTTGGGAAACTGGGAAGTGTCGCTCCACTTTGTGGGGAGAATCGACCAACAACAAGATTGACAGAGGCAGATAATATCACAAAGTGTTCAAAGAGGGCCTCAAGATGTTCGAGCACCCTCAGGTCTTCATATCAACACTTCAGGCTTTTTGCGCCCATTTTTTTTCCGTGTGATCTGTGGCCAACTCCGTGTCAAGGCCACAATCGATCCAAGAGCTGATTCAACTGATGCTCAGCCCAAAGAAGAAGACCGTGGCAGTCACCTGACTGCAGTAGTGGACGCCGTGTTGAAATCTTTCAACTAGGAGCCAGGATGCTACTAGGAACAAAGGACATCGCTGCGCTACTAGGAGCAAGGGCGCTACTAGTAGCTCCTTGCATCGCTACTAGTAACAAGGGCATCGCTACTATTAACAGGCCTATGCCAGAGACATGTCCATTCAGTGCTACTGGGCTACCTTAATGTCCAGGACTCCATTTCAACTGTGATGACATGATGACATCAGTAAGTTTCACACCCCCATCTCTGATTTGGTTCAAACGACTCAACTGAGATTGTTTTGAGTTTCGTTTAGCATGGTTTGACCTTTTGGTCTACAGTGTATACAGTGATGTCTACTGTTCCAACCCAAGACTCTTTGCTGGATCCCGAAACGGCTGCCGTTTGTTTGGTCGCATGCCATCTTAAGTTGTTTTAATGACAACTTTTGTTGTAAAGTGAGAGTCGGATCCATTTATGATGTCCACATGTTCTTCGACCTACCATCTTCGACCCTCCTTCTACCGGTCGAACGAGAGGAAGGGCGGGCAAGCGCCGTTTGCGCCGTCGCCGGAAGAAGTGAATGTCGCCGTCGAGTTCCACCGATGTCAACTCTATTTTTTGATATTTTTGGTATCTAGACTCGTTGTGGAAGAACCCTAGAGGCCCTAGTGTGTTTTCCAAACACAACCCTATTCTGCATTCAAGAGGGCAGCGCTCTTTTCTTCCGGATTTCGTGTTTTTGTGGGCTCTTTTCTTCCAGCCATGTGTGGAGTATATTTGCAGTAGTTTCTTGCTTTTGCTCCTGCCTCCTCTGTTGTTTCCGCTTTCGCATGTGCTTTTGCTGTTGCTTCTGTTTTTTTGTTGTTGTTTGCTTTTGTTTCTGCTTTCTTTTCTGCTGTTACTTCTGCTTGTGTTTTTATTTTGCATCTGTTTAGCTTTTGTTTTTGACTGTTTTGTTTTGTTTGTCCTGCTTATGTTCGCTTCTGCTCTTGGTCGCCTTTTGGCTTTTGGATGCTTTTGGTGGAAAGAGCATCCATTTGTTGTTTTTGTGTTGTTTTTTTCCTGATGGCTAGTGTCAGCCCCTGAGAGTTTGCGGAGGAAGGGGCAATTCCATAGCATACCTTTTGTGAGCCATCCGCGGTAATGTGGCATACCTTTTGTGAGCCACCCGAGGGTAAAATTTGGAGGAGGCAGGAGCAATTCCAGCGTAGCATACCTTTTGTGAACAGCCCAACGATCAATTTAGAAGAGGAAGGAACCATTCCATTCCAACGTCGTGAGCCACCGTACGATAAATGTACTCTAGAGCAGAAAGAACCCGCTCCACTGTAGCATATCTTTTGCGAGTGAGCCACCCAAAGGTAATCTAAGGGCCATTCCAATGCGGCAGACTTTTTTTGTGAACCATCCCAGAGTAGAATTCAAGAGGGAACCATGCACGCGGAGTCCTGTCCGCGAGGAAGCACTCCCCCGCCTGGGTCCCCCTGACTCTACCTGAGTCACCTGACTCCTTTCACCAAGCAAGCACGCAAGCAAGCAAGCCCAAACAACCCCCAGTTCTCTCCTCCTGCCCCTCTCTCCTTCCCTTCGCTCTTTTGGTTCTATTTTTCTTTAGTCCCAGTTCTGCTTCTAAACACTCCCGAAAAAATGTTGGAAACATGTCCGGAAAGAAATCCCACACAAACAAGGAAGCAAGCAAGGCCAGAAGCTACCCTAAAGAAGTGAAACCCGAAACCCACCCTCAGATTTTATAGGAACTGGAGAGTGTTTGGGGAAAAATCTTTCTGAGTCCTTAGGTTTAGCTTCTTCTGTGCCTCCAAGGTTTGGATTGACGTTGATCCCGAGCCGTCCTCAGGCAAGATGGAACCAATGAGCATGGAACGAGCAGACTCCGACCTGTTTCGACAGACTCCAAACTGTTTGCCAATTTGTCCAATGGGTTTTGGATGGTTTGGGCCATCCCACTTGGGGTGGTCTCCAATGCAAGTTTTGTTGCGGAGGGATCCCACCAACCGCTACTTAGGAGGAACCATAAGCGTTTGGCTCACTGAGTAGAAACGAATAGAAGAAAACAACATGCAACTACCCCAAGCCAAGGCCAATGCAAAGATAATTGTCATACATAAATATATATATATATACACATGTTACGAAAGCCAGCCTTCGTAGAAGGCGCTAGCGGAGTTGTGTCTGGCGAACGAAGTGAGTAGTTAGGGGGTCTGGGGGGGTGGCCCGAGAAAGGTATACGTCAACTCAGCACATGCTGGGGGAGGAGGGTGCTCCGAGGGAAGGTTTTTTGAGGTTGTGTTGGAGGTGATTTTTGAGGGGTGGTGATGCAAGAAATGCCAAATGCATCACTTGCATCATCTGAATGGAAAGGTGTAGTTGGCACCTTGCAAGGTAGAGAGACCTAGGGTAGCTATAGTGCAGCTACCAGGTATAGTACTTCAAGTTCCCTTTCCGTCAACCGCTTGAGAACCTCTACACACGCACAGCAATCCACAGCCTTGAAGTCTCATTCGTGCTTTGAACTTGTATAGGTGTGTAAGAGGTATAGCAACATACTATTTATACGGACCCAGGGTAGCTACAAGTAGCTACAGTTCTGGTATTGCGCGCATGAGGCTTCAAAGCTGTGGTTTTCAAGCTAAAGTCAAGGTGGCCTGAGACCAGGGTTTGCTGCCCTAAAACACTCTGTTC